GTAGTAAATGCTTAACATATGTTTACTGAATATATAATTTCCTAATTAGATTATATAACCTTCTTGTGTGAAGATTTATGTTCAGTTTTATGTTTATTAATTATTTTTTTTCCTTTGGGTTTTCAATTAAATGCTCCATCCACAGCACTTTTTGTACCTGAGGGTTACCTGGTAGTAGGGTTAGGACAGTCCTAAAATGACTGATTTTTAGACAGTCATATTAGACTGTCTAAACCTTTGGGATGTAAGCATCAGATAGTATGAAAAAATCTGGGAAATTAGCAATAAATGTCAAGTAGACCTCTTGGCAAATTGCTGGAACTTAGTGTTAGATAGGAGTTTTCTGCATGTAAACTGTAAAAACAGTGTCCCAGCATGAATAAGGAACAAAGGATCTGGGAATTTGGGTAGGAAAAAGCAGGAAATTGAGGAGGACTGTGGAAAGCAGGTTTGAATCCTAGCCCTGGAATAATGGGAGTACTGGGTAAGAAACCAGATTAGGATCCTGGGTATAGACTTTTCTTGAAACTTGGAACATAAAGCAGAGGTTTAGTCATATTTCAGTATAAGGAAGGAAACTGCTTACTAGGAACCGGGGTGCATGATCATACTAGGTAACCTTGACACTGAGCCATAATTTTGGTTTTTTTAATATATTACCCAACTAGAGGTAGATTTATTCCCAGAGAATGGGGACAATGCCGGGGTGGAACATGAAGTTCTGTTGTGGACCTGAAACAACTTACTGTAAACATAGTGGGTTCTCTAAAGACAGACCTCTGGCCAGGCACGGTGGCTCATGCCTGTAATTCTAGCACTTCAGGAGGCCGAGGTGGGAGGAGTGCTTGAGGCCAGGAGTTTGAGACCAGCCTGGGCAACATAGCAAGACCTCGTCTCTACAAAAAAGAAAAAAATTAGCGAAGTGTGGTGGTGTGCACCTATAGTCCCAGCTATTCCGGAGGCTGAGGCAGGAGGATCACTTGAGCCCAGAATTTGATGTTGCGGTAAGCGGTGATCATGCCACTGCACTCCAACCTGGGTGATACAGAAAGACCCTATCTCTTAAAAAAATAAAAATAAAAAATAAAGGACACATCTCAACAATGAGAATAATAAATACTGAAACACTACCGTTTACCTAGATTGTACTTGTTAATCTATATTTTTCTTATATTCATGTTGTTTATTTTTCATCCCTCTCCCCCATTTTCTTAAATCTTCAGAAACTATATGAGCTGAATAACCTTCATGCACTTATGGCAGTGGTTTCTGGCTTACAGAGTGCCCCAATTTTCAGGTTGACTAAAACATGGGCGGTGAGTAATCTTCCTTAGTTAATGAAAGGTTAGACTTCCTGTGGGAAGTAAAGAAGTATTAGTTTCTTTTATAGTTCTTAGTAAGGTTAATATTATGATAATAGATAAGGATTTTTAAATTCCTTTGTATTTTGTTCTTTGAAACGTACATTTTCTCTCCTTAAGCATTTCATCAGGTTTGTTAGATAATTTTTGGGGAGATTACATTTTGGTGCTTGGTTTCTGCTCTTTTAGGGAATCATTTTTATCTACAAAATGATAAGCATCTTTGACAACATAGTATTTCATATCAGCTGATAGGAAAGTATGAATGCAAAAAATTGCATTTAATCATGTAAAGATTATGCTTTTGGAAAGTTTGAGGTGATCTAAATTCTAAGTTTCAAAAAACAAAATTTTTTATTCCTTAGAAGTAACAGAAAATCTGATAGTTAACATGGAATTATTTGATGTTGCTGCATATTCTGATATTGTTATGTTAATCATATTTGGCTCTATTACTTTGACAAGGTCAGGGTATGAATTTTGACCTGTGCAAACCTGTGTATTTCAGTATTGAGTGACATGATACTGGACTCAATCTTTCCAGATATTTTTAATTTAGATTTTATATAAGTAAAATTTTACATTCAATTACATTTATTTATATTCAATGCTATTCTTTAATGTTAAAGAGCAATGATTTTGTTTAGAGTCTATTACATTTTGTACAAAAGATTAATATGTTTTTAAGATCCTGCCCTAAAAACATGACTGACTTTTTAAAACTACTTTTTTCATTACTAAAATATAACTTTGTTTTGAA